TCGTCGTCGTCGTCGTCGTCGTCGTCGTCGTCGTCGCCGTCGTCATTATCATTTTGAGACTTGCATGACCAATTCAGCGTTGCGTGACGTTTGTAACCAGAGCTAACATTATGAGATATAAATTTAGAAACAATTGATATTGTGGACTCAAAACGCTAATCGAATAAATGCTGGGTGTTATTAACTCAAGAGCCCGCGCGTTATCGGTCAGCGCTTGCGCTTAACAGCAGTAATAGGGAGTTTGGCACCGTCGACACTACGCCGAAGAAATTTGTAAACGTAGCTTTATTTTTATGGTTTGGCCTAGTATCCAAACTAATCCATTACGAAAACGGAACTTTTCGAAAACTCTCTTCAAACCGGAGGAATTTGAAAACGACGGCTTTTCGTTTTCGTGGGGGCGGAAAACATTTCTCCGGCGTAGTGTGAACAACGGGGCCTAAAAGCAACGACGACGGCCGTGTAATTTGTCCGTCACCGTCAGAGCTTTCCCAAACTGATATATAAGGGGCCGTCAAAATTCTGAAAACTGATTTTAAAAATTAGCCTGCGTGGTTTACGTTCTTTATAGAGTACGCAGAATTTGGTCATTTCACACTCCATTTTTGCAGAGGACGGCAAAGAAATGAAGTACTATATCGCACTTGTACAACCATTGTCCTACTCATAAAAAAAGCTCCCCATTTGTTTAAGGGGCACGAAGGCTGTGCGTACGAGATTGTAATGGTTTCTGAACATGCGAAGACTAGTATAAACTGCTATTTTAATGCTGGCTCATTTTCATTTACGCTAAGAGGTCTCCATCAGTGGCGTCAACAAGCGCGCTACTGGCAAAGGAACGAGATTGTTGCCGAGTCTCTTAAGTCAAGTGACTCACTGGCAGCAGTTAAGTAAGGGCATAGTGAACATAATTTGGAGTGAAATTTGTTCTTTACTGCTTTCAAATCCAGTCTCCCTGGACTTGACCGCGAACTTCACCCGGTGACGTCACTTGGTTCACGAGACCACCTCACCTTGGCTGAACGGGAAGCTATTTAACAAATTGCCTGCGGCTCGTGGTTCCACAGCCACTTTGACAATGTTATGACGCAATTTATCATCAATAAGAGGACAGTCGCATAAAAAACTGACGTCAATTTGTTTTTTACAATAACGACCCCAAAACGGTCAAATGCCAGGAACAAATGAGGGGAAAAGACGACGTAAACTTGTCGTAAACAAAGACAAGTGAATTTTATTCAAAATGACGCGAACATTGTCAATAGCTTTTCTCTCTTTTTGATTGGCTACTTAAAAAAGTCCACAAAGTCTCATTGGTTAAAAAGTTGACAGTTTGACAGCTGAAAGTTGAACTTGAAAGCTTGCATAAATTAAAATTTTATCCGTTTGTACTCTTATCGATGATAAAAATGAACCAGTCAGCGCGCGAGAAATTAGACAGTTATTGTAAAAAATCTTTTCGAATGACCTCAAACCTGTGTGACCTCTTCAAAAGTCCAAAGGGGCCATATCTCTAATAAAGATGCTCGGTTTTGGCCTTCGATGCCCGAATTATATTGATAGGTACGAATGCAATCAAATATCCATGCAAAACTCGCCACTCAGAACAGATTCAGTTTGCTTCTCGGTGTACTGTGCTAATCCAAAAGGCCGACAAACTATGGTTTCATTTTTCAGTTTTGAACACAAGTCGTGACGCAAATGATGACGTTTTCAGCTCTTTAAACATTACGCTCCTGAAGTATTACGTTTATTGACGCACGAAAAAAAATTCAGTAAAATACTGTTATTATTTCACTTTAGCCACTCCCCGAGTCGCGCACTCTCTCGTGATCGTAGGTGGAGTCGCCGAATTTGGGCAATAGTTGCGAAACTGCAGTTGTTTTTTCATTTTGTTCGGCTTCTTTGTGCTTTGTACAGAGAAATGCAAATGGTTACGAAAAAAATCATTTTTTTTCTGTTTATTCGTTTTTTGCTATTGATTTATTTTTGCTTTGTTTTGTTTTCGAATTTTTTTCCCTTTCAGAGAGTTTTGCAGATAATTTGAATATCGATTTATTATCGATCGGCATCTGAATTGGATCGGAAGGTAAGTCACGTGCCACAATGTTATGCGCAGTACGTGTTGAATCTGACGTTGACCGAAGCTGTGTGGAAGTTGGTCTGGAGATAAACTTCCTTCGTAAGCTTAACCCGTTTCATTACCTTATACAATACAAAAGAGACGTTAGAGAAGGGAACACAAAAGGCCTTGTACATGGTGGACGCGAAATATTTTATGGCAGCGGAGAGAAACGGTTACAACGGGCAGATATTCGAGGCCCTGAAGAATAGGTTTCCCGAAATTCCGGAGCAAGTCATTTCTCAAACCCTGCAGGCTGAGGTAAGTCGATTTCTAATCTCACATTGGTAGCCTGTCTCAAGAATTTGTTGGTTATTTATATTACGGATTGAGCAAGTTCAGTTTTCCGTTCAGGGACTGTTGTTTTGCATCAACATGTTTTGATTCTTTTGGTAATTTCCGTGGGTAGTGCACTGGAGGTGTTGTCCTGTAAACATAGCGTGTTCTCGAGTAAGCCATCACTATGATTCTCTGGCGTGTGTTGAATTCTGCTTCGTCGCGATCAAGGCTTCTTTCAACTCGATTGTACTCTTTTTAACTCCATATTTTCCATGGAGACGATACTGATTGAACTGAATCGTGGCTGTAAACAAATGTGAAATCGCCACGATTGTTTGCATCAAAGAACTTCGTCGGTTCGATCGATGGCAAGGATTTCAATAGCCCTTAAGGGAATATTTTTGCGGAGCGATAATCCAAGCTGTATTTCTGTTCATAACTTTTACAAGTCGGAAAATATTAGCGTTATAGATGAAGACGATACGCTAAAATCAACGATCTCTGCATTAACTCCACGACACATGATGTATATATAGCCAGCTTGCAGATTAAGTTCTTCATATTTTGAGGACAAAATCGAAAGTAAAATTTAAGACTTTGATAGAAGATAACGACAGCTTTGCTCAGTTGAAATCTGCCCCTTCGCTGCAGTTGGCTCACAGATGAATAAAAGAGATCAGGGGAAATATTTTAATTTTAGAACGTTAATTATTATGATCAGTCACGACTATAAATTTCTCAGTGAATCATCGCTTGCGTATAGACCGGATGACTGAACACTTGGATCATGTGCACGTTGATATTAGCTGACCTAGTGTATGGCGTGATAATTTGTAGTTATTAAACAAGTCTTTTTTTTAAAAACGGAAGGTTAGATGGCATTTTTTGGGACTTCATTCTTAATGAAGATGTTTCTACATACATCGAAGACTTTTTATAATATATTTCTTGTCTTTTTGAAACCCTGTGACAAATCATGTAATCTTGGGCTATTGCAAATTTATAATATTAAGGTTGATTGAAAAGGTACTAATGTTATTCAAGCAAGTGATAGTACTGTCACTGTGCCAGGAACTTCCTACATTGCAAAGTTTTCTAACTGTAATGGCAGTTTTAAATGTAAACCATTAGCATTTTATCATTATTTTGATTAGGTACCACAAATGGTGCATTTCTGCTGTCCATTAACCTTCCCTTTTTTTTTCATTGAACAGTTGGCTAATTTATGGTTGTATGGCTAAATATAGAGTTGATAGTTTAGAAACTTAATAAGCCCCTACTGCTCAAGTTTCATGTGCTTTATACAATGTAAGATAATGGACTTTTTGTTTTACAAAGGGACTAAAAAGTACTTAAAATTCATGGCACAAGTAAATTGATTACGGCGTGTGCTTTTTATTTACACTAAGTTTTCGTTGATACTGAAAAGGAGAGAGGTGTGTGAAACAAAAAAATGTGGATGCCTTTGAAGAAAGTGACTCTGAAGGAGCCACGCTTGAAATGTAGTTGCAGTCACTGTAAGAGAAAAGAAAAGAAAAATGGAGATGTTAATTAGAAAAGGTCCATTACTGAATTATTATCAATTTTGCCTTCTTTGATCAAGTCTAGTCAGACTGGTTTACCTGTGATCACTATTATCAGTGCTATTGTTTCGATCGCTTCAGAAACATTTGATTGACCCTTACCAACTTTCCATTCAGTTATTGTAATTGGTGCATTTACAACACTAAAAATGCCGGAGAGAACCTGGATCATTAGCAAACACTCAGTGCATTTCTGGTGTCAGCAAGTCAGCAGTCTTTGGAGAGGGGTTTCTGTATGAATTAACGATGATTGCGTAGTATGATCATCAAGACTTGTATGACAATCAATTAGGATTATTACATGTACAATCGCTGAAGCAGGGCTGTAGCCAGGTGAAAATTCTTCCCAAAGCAAAAATAATATTATATGAACTTTTGCTTTAACAATCCTAGTGATAATAATAATTGTAACAACCACCAGCATCAGCCTTTAAACAGTGTTAACAGTTCCTTATAAATAATTTTGACTCTTCATATTTTTTCAGCATGGAAATACAGAACGTTGCTTGAGGATTCTCACAGCGGAGAGCGATAGATTTTTATATGGTGGTGGTGTTGACATGTTAGACAGTCCGATGCCAGTTCAACCATCTTCCCAAAACACACCTGTAGATGAACCTATATCAATCACAATTCCCACCACAAACACATCCCCATATCTACCACACAGAACTGCACC